GCAGTCTCTAACTGATCTTTCTCTAGGGAGCTATCAAGTGGAGAAGATACTTTATAAAAAGAGGTGTTGTGGGCCGGGGATTTAGCTCAGTGATTCCGCCGCCTGCCTCCTAAGGGCAAGTGTTGCATCCTTGTGGATGGACTTTTAAAGTAAAATACAATTATTCAGTTGGTGAAGAAAGACAAGGATTGCTTTTCCAGGCTAAATTCCTTGAAACTTGGAATGTTGTAAGAGAATAGACTCAACCGAGTATGATTTAAGGCTCCCCTCACCCATCGCCTTCCTTCCTTCCTTGCTCCCTCCCTCCATCCCTTCCTGTCTTCCTCTCTCTTCAGCATGACCATCACTCCTCCCAGATACTCCTTCCATTAGAACAATGCCTCTCGCCCCCTCCCCCGTATATTTTTGTCAGTCCCAGAGGCTCACCACACATGGTATCGCTTCCGTTCCTTGTTTAGAAATTTGGGTTAGGGTATACAGCTGAGTGGAAGTGCACCTGCCCAGCAGTTGGGCCTTACTCCAATCTCCAGAACTTCAAAAGAAAAAAATTGAGTTAAATTATATGTAGGTCCAGGTCTGTGCCTGCACGGGTGTGGGCTAGCTTGCAGGCTGTCCGGCTGGCAGGTTTCACTGGGTGTGTGGCCGGCGTCTGTGGCCATGGGAAATCCAGGTATCAAAACTGACTCCAAAAAAGAGAACCTAACAGACCAGTAGTAATGGAAGAAACTGAGAAAGTTAGCAGAAACCTGTTATTCCCTGCAATGCAAGGCTCAGCTGGTGTCACAGGTTAAAAAATCCTTCAGGAACAAGACAGATCAGAAGCAACATGATGGATTTAGAAGCTCATGAAAAGCCAGGTGTGGTGGCGCACGCCTGTAATCCCAGCACTCGGGAGGCTGAGGCAGGAGGATCGCTGTGTGTTCAGGACCAGCCTGGGCTACATAGCTACACTGTGAGTTCTAGGTCAGTCTCAACTACATGGTGAGACCCTGTCTCAAAAAAACCAAAAAAAAAAAGCTCATGAATAGAGGCCACCAATCCTAACATGTTCAACACAAGACGCATCACCACACATCACCAGTGTTGGAGAAATGAAGCACTATCTGTGTGGTTGCTGCACAGCTTTCGGCAACATAGCAATCACGTTTCCAGTTCACAAGGTCCTCTTTCTGCAGCGGCTTTATGGAACCAAAACCTGGGATGCAGTACTTTGGTTGAGGAGGGATGGATTTTGAAACTTGTATCGTGGAATCCTTCCCCGCTTCATGAAGAACGCAACTACCCTGGCACTCATGTTTGGTCTGTGTGAGGATTTGTCTTGCGTTCGCCTTAAGCACGTCAGGGCTCCAGAGTTTGTGTCCGTGGTGTGGCTGCAGTAGGCGTGCTGAAATGCCATGGAATTAGAATATTATGGAGGCTTGGGGCCCATTCTCTTCCGTACCGGATTCAGCAATGTTCTTTACTTTGGCCTTCGAGGTCCCATTAAGGAGCATCTGCCTATGGAACAAGTCGCAGCTCTCATCTGGTTAATGGCTTTATCTGTGGAGGTGTATTAGGTGCCATGTTGGGGTTCTTTTTTTTCTTTTTTCCAGTTAATGTAAAAACACATACAGTCTCAAGATTGGTGGGGAGTTTCAGTCTTTCTCCAAAGTTTTCAAAACAACCTGGCTAAAACAGGGCAGGAAACTGACAAATCTCTTCAGGGGTGCCCATCTGAATTATCATCAGTCCCTCATCTCTTGGGGCATAATCAGTGTGACTTATGAATTCTTGTTAAAGATCATATGAGAAAAGGCACCTGTGAAATGCCATGTATCTATCGATTGAACAGACCTGAGAAAAATGCAGTTTGACTTAGATTCAAATTGGCCTCAATACAAGCTGGTGTCATCGAGTCCAGGCCATGGTGAATTTTGGGAAAGCCATTTTCCCTGAGCATCAACAAAAACAATAAAAGGGGGCTGGTTCTACCGCTTGCCTCACAAGTGCAAAGTCCCAAGTAAGTTCAATCCCCAATATCAAAACAAAGACAAAAACAAAAAAAGGCTTCAGTAGGAAACTTTTAAGTTATATTTACTTTTTTATCATTACGGGAGAGCTTTAGGCTAATTGCTGGTAAATAGCTGTTTATCTGATGGACTTTCACAGGGTACCCTAATAGCCAGGACTGATTCTTTTCCCCAAAACAGGCTTTAAGCCTTTTATACTGAAGCATAAAATGGCCATAACCAGCCAGGGAAAAGTGCCCTCAGGACCCTAGGACTTCTCAGACTTCCTCTGATACCCCATTTCGTCTTTGCTCTCAGGAGCAGATGCAAAGGGTAGTCTTCATTAAATTCAAGCATGTATGTGGCAGGACACCGGGCAGAACAAAAGAAAATCAGTTTATTTGGTCAGTCTGCTTTGTTTTTTGGGTTTTTTTTTTTTTTTGGTACCAGGGATTGCACTTAGGACCTTGTGCTTGTGAGGCAGGTGGGGGGCCACTGAGCTAAATCCTTAGCCCTATTTGGCCCATTTTTATTGTTGGAGTTAGTTTTGAAATTAAGCACCTGGTGTGAGAGTCATAATCCAGACTCTTTTCTGTTTAGACGTGGTGGAGGGGATCATGAAAGCTAATGAAATCTCTCATTTTGTTTTCTGCCTTTGGATGTTTTCTGTTTAATTCTGAATGTGACCTTAAGCCCTTCCAAAATATCCTTATGTTAATTTTACCGATTTCCTTGCCAAAACATGGGAAGATTTAAATTTTTTATAGGTGTTTCTTCCCATTAAGAAGTTGTTAACTACATATAGTTCCTGTTTTCTCCAGCTTGGTTTATTTGAATTATTGGCTGCAATTTAGCAGAGGGCTTTGGAGTTTTTTCCCCCTTGAGTAGTAATTTGTCATATTTGAGCATCCTGCTCTCTTGAAGCTATACTTTAAAAAAATAATACTCTTCCATAAGTTAAAAAAAAAAATGATTGTACGCAGGAAAGCCATCCCCTCCCCAGCTTAGCCTTTCTTCCCTTCAATTGTAAATAGAGATCTTTAGTTTCATTGATCTCTTCCTTTTTCAAAATTATCCCCCATCTCTTTCCACTAGCCCTTTCCTCTTGGTCTTTTTCAATATAACCAGGACTCTCCAATGTGGAGGGCCTGTTTGTTCAATACCATGGCACTGATCTATTCATCTCTTTCACTCACAGCTGAGCATCTCAGATGATTACTTCACATTGATTCCATTTTTTTTCTGGTACTGGGGATCAAACTCGGGTCCTTGAGCTTGCAATTGATTCCAATTTTGAATCTACCACCTACTCTGTTTTCATTAAAATGAAAAATATGCAAAAATGTATTCTACTAAGGTCAGTTAGGACTTCTGTTAGACAAATTTGATGGTCTTCTTTTGATATTTATCCTGTCATATACTTGTTCTTATCCTGTTGGGATCTAGCAGGAGTGGGAGAGGGCAGGCAAGGGGGTGTTGCTGGGGAATTGCTAGGTGTGCAAGGCCTCCGTTACTAAATCTCCTTATAGTTCTACCCTTTAGCCCCCATCCAAGTTAGTTATAGAGAATGTTACAAGTTTGGATCCATTTTCCCCAAAGGTCCACATGGTAAGTCTTGTTCCTCAGGGTAGCAATGTTGGAGGAGGTGAAACCTTTACAAGGTGGGGTCTGGTGGAGAGTCTTCAGGTCACTGGGGCTGTGCCCTTGAAGGGAGTTGTGGGAACCCATTATGTTCCTCTCTTGCTTCCTGCCCAAGAAGGGAATGGTCTGGTTCCATTCCATGCTCCTCCCATGATGTGCTGCCTCAGCATAGGCTCAGGGGCCCACTACTGTGGACTGAAACTTGTGACACCATGAGCCAAATAACACCTTTCTCTTTCTAAGTGGATTATCTCAGGTATTTGTTACAGCAGCAGAAAGCTGACTAACACAGAATAGGATATGATTGCAATGATTCTTTTCCTGCATCCATCCCACAAATCAAGGAAAGAGAATCAGCAAATTCTTTGCCCTGAAGATTAGGTCACCCCAACCTTGTATCCCTACTAATTACAACTGAGTGATGTGTGCTCAGGTCTGAAATTGTCCCCTTGAATCTCTGATGTCTACAATGGGTGGTTCTTCAGCAAATCTCTTGCTCATCAGTTTGCACAGTTGCAGCTCTTACCAATCTTTAATTTGGTGCCTTCTCCATTCTCCTTTTTTCCTCATTTCAAACTGACTTTTTCTCTATATTGTTGTCTTTCAGGCAGCCTCATAGTCTGACCAAAACTGATCTTTCCATTCTTACAAGCATTCCCCAAACCACACTAGAAACTACAATACCTTTTCTTGTTCTCACAGAAACAAAATGTATGAGAAATAACCCTTCATTAATAGTAGGCTCCCACCTTCTTTAAAAATCATAGCTGCTACACTTGAACTTCTTAGGATCATAAGACCAAAAGGAATCTTGAAATGTCAACCTGTTAGTGACATCATCTGCAAATAATTATGTAATGACTTTGTCTAAATAATTTAGAAAACTGCTGATTTTATTATTTTTAAAAAATGAGGGCCAGGTGTGGTGGCACATGCCTAGAATCCTAGCACTTGGGAGGCTGAGGCAGGACTATCGCTTCAAGTTTAAAGCAAAGCCCAGGCAATAGAGTGAGTTCAAGGCCAGCCTGAACTACATATCAGAGGCTGTCTCAAAAGTGCTCCTCCCCAAATTTTTTTTGACTCTGTCCCCAGCCACTGATTCTTGGTTAAAGCGAATTTGAAGATCATTTGTCAATCAATTTAGAGCCCTCTGAGTATCTCATATAGTGAAGTTGGCTATGATATCTAATAAAGGAAATTAATACCTTGAAGATCACAGGTTAAATGTAAAAGTCACCATCAATATGAAGGCTAAGAGACTTAATCATATTACAAGCTGTTAATGTAAATATGTAAATTTGGAGCTATCTCTGAATTTTAGCACAAGAGTCATTAGCTTGAGCATTGGAACCATTCTCAAAGGTTGTGTACCTTTTACTGGGGCAGAGATTTGTTGTTTTCATCAGATCCTTAAGGGCTTCATGGCCTCTAAAAGGTAAAGAACAAGTGCTTTAGAAGAAAGAAGACTGAAATCAAGATAAGATTTTATATATTTATCAATGCATTAAACAATGGCAAACAATTTCTGTTTCAGCACACACAGCAAGATAAAATGTCAAGTATTATAAATAATGATCAAATGACTAGTAACCATATTTAACCACTGATACACATAATACCATTCCAACATTTCAGATATTAATCAACGAGTGTTTCATTTAATATAATGCAACAAATAAATGGGGGGCAGTTTAGAAATTTTTATCCTCTATCATGTTTACCAATATACTTATTTGCACTATTATCTCTGAAAAACTTCATTGAGGTAACTGATACCACATATAAGTAAAAAAAACTATTAAGGATGGGGATTTAGCTCAGTGGTGCTGTTGCCTGCCTCACAAGTACAAGATCCCAAATTTGATCCCCAGAATCAAAAAAAGAACAAAGAAAAAAAAAACTGTTTAATGTAGTACCTCAGTTATAACATCTCATTTTCTTACATAAGAAAGATGAATTATTGTGCATACTTTATGACAGCCTGATTAGAAGTATACTAGGAAAACTCATGTCATAGTCAAATTTTAAAGTCAAAAATCAAATTCAGAGCTTGGATTTTTAATGCCAGTACCCCTACAGAGAAGTCCAAGAATAGTTCTTAAATAGTTGACAAGTAACACTTCCAAAAGTCTGTCTTCAAAATGGATTTTTAAAATTAGGTTTGATAATTATCATAAAATAACCTTATTTTTAAAAGTTAGGTTTGACTTGGTCACATGCAGACCAACAAGTTATTGTGTATTTCATTTTTTTACATTTAAAATATACTTTATAAAACTAAAATAAAACATACCTCATAAAACATTATTTATTTACTTATTTGATATGTTTTTGTTGAGCCTCTGCTATACGTAGGCACCAGTCTAGGTGCTGGGATTACATGAGTAAAAAAAAAAACAGATAAAAAATATAGTATAGCAATATATATGCTCATTATAAAACATTTAGATATAGAAGCACATAGAATTTTAAAAAATCAAACATATTCTTAGGGTCCCCCTTTCTATCTCAGTTCTCTCTTTGTAATATTCCTGTTAATAATTTTGTGCATTTTCTTTTAGAACTTTTCTGTATATTTATACAGATTACTTTATATAGCTGTGATGGCGAGTCTTTTAGAGCTTTCAGAGACACAAACAGCCCACTGTGGCATGCATGCCAAAGTTTTGCCACTACTGTTATATAGGGTTTGTTTTGTTTTATGTTTTGAGACAGGGTCTGTTGTGGCTTGGGTCTGGATGGCCCACCAAAGCCTCATGGGGTCATAGGTGGGTGAATCTAATGTGTGACACTAGAATTAAGGGTGGGTATTTTGTCTCAGCAATGAGGGAAAAGTAACTAACACAGGGTCTCATTATATAGTTCAGGCTGGCCTTTAAGTCACTATATAAACTAGTCTGGCCTTGAATTTGCAGCCTTCTGAGTGCTGGGATTACAGGTGTGTGCCACCACAGTCAGCTCTTATGTAGAAATTTAAAAACAACTTTATTGAGTATAAGGTAGTGTAGATATGTATATATATCATCAAATTCACTTGCATAAAGTATGCAATTATATATATTTTTAGTATATTTGCAGGGCTGTTCAAACAATATCATAACTTAGGCAAGTAGAGTTTAAAATTATAAATTGTCAGGCTGGTGCACATGTTTCTAATCTTAGCACTTGGGAGGCTGAGACAGGAGGATCACTATGGGTTTGAGGCTAGCCTGGCCTACACAGTGAATTCAAGGCCAGTCTGAGCTACAAAATGAGACTCTATTTCAAAAAAACTAAAATAAATAAATAAAATAAAATTATAAATTGATATACATTTTAAATTTAAGATCCAATCATATAGATTATTACTATTATATATGAAAATTTTCATTTTTAGGTTAGTGCTAAACCTTGACAATGTTCTCACCTTGTCAGCACAGAAATATTTGTGATCATCACCTAAAAAGAGAATATGTTCCTTGTCAGATTTCTTAGAAAAAGTGTGCTAAAGCTAAAGTAATTAGATAGTTTATGGTAATCCTGTGATTTCAGAGAGCAAAATTTTACTATAGTGAACTTATAGAGAATCTTAAGAGTCCAAAAGTCAACTGTGAAAACACACACACACACACACACACACACACACACACACAACTTTTTAGCATTGAAATAACAATATTAAGTGCTAACAGTGACATAACTTTTTTTTTCCCCCCAGAACCATAACAAGATTTATTATGGGAAGGATGTGCTGGGCTGTCTCTGAACAAAGGAGAGAAAAGCCAACATAACCTTTATTATGTGCCAGAAACTTCTGAATGCTTACTACAGTGTGTGGTTCCTCCTGAAGCCCTCACACTTCCATGAAGCATTTACTGTGATCAGATCCATTTCACAGATGCGGAGACTATAGCACAGAAGTTGGGTAATTTGTCCATTGAAAGAATAATTTATAGCTGGTTGTGGTGGCATATGCTTATAATTCCAGCCCTTGGGAGGCTGAGGCAGGAGGATTGCCATGACTTCAAGGCCAGTCTGAACTAATAGCAAGACCCTGTCTCAAAAAACAAACAAAAAATAACCAAATAAATGAAAAGGATAAATTAAAGAGAGACAGTTGGATTTTAAAGGAGAAGCTTCCAAGTGCATGCTCTTTCCTGGTTAGATGGGATGTGAGGGGATGAAGGAGAGGAAGTAAACATTAATGGATAAATGTTTAGGCTGAGTGTAAATGAGACAATCTAGGCCAAGTGTGTAGTGTAGCAGTGACTCCTCGTAAGCACACGCTAAAATGCATAAAGAAAAAATAATTTCAACAATTTGGAGCTATTACAATTCTTCAAGGGAACTGATCCGGAAGGCATTTGGGAAGCAGAAGTACTGTGAAGACAGAGCAGACTGTGTCAGAGATCAGAGAAGCTGTGGCAGGGAAAATGAAAACAAGGGCAGTGTCTCCACTAAAGCTTTGGGACCCCAGCATGATTGAGGGGAGTCAGAAAAGGTTTCCAGGGAAAGAAAATCTTGAGATACAAGTTGGGAGGTAGGTAAATCAAATTAGGACTAATTGAAGATATTTGAGTTTTGTTTAGAAGATAAATTGAGACCATTAGGCGTGCGGGGTGGGAAGGAGCAGGCTGGCCTGGAGGGAAGGACAGTGAGAGGCTGGATGTGAACCATCCTACCCCAGACTGGGACCAAGGCTCCGCCCCCAACATCTGCTACCAGTTGGTATCTTATCTTGTGATTTAAAGTTGCTTTGTCTTCAAGCTTCTCAATCCCTGTGATCTCAAACCAAGATAATCTTTTATATCTAAAATTTGTTTCTCATGCTTAACATTACCAAGCATCTTTTCAGGGCTAGTGATCTTCATTTCTTTTCAAAACCTGGGAGACCAATGAAAAAGCTAGATAAAACTAATAATAATAATGCAGAGATGCCCAAGGTGGTAATTTAAAAACAGGTATGACAACCACTAAGTCCTGATCACATGAAAGTTAGAGGTGGGTTGGAAAGAAAAGCTTAGACTTGGGGTAAGTGTGGGCTAGGCTTAACTAGCAAATTCATTACACTGAGAGTTACCCTTTGGGGTGAACAGTAGAAAGTGTCTCTTTTGCAAAGTGTGCTAGGACAAAAGTGAAGTTGTAGGGAAATTCTGATTAAAACCAAGGAGGAGAAACACCAGGTGACACTAGTCAACTGGAAATGGAGGTAGGAAAAGGGAGGAGCCATCCAAACCACCACTGTTCATTTAGAACAGTCTGTGCTTTGATTCTTGTTGAAGTCTATCTATCTGTCTGTCTGTCTGTCTGTCTGTCTATCCATCCATCCATCTCAAATTAACTGGTAAAGATGTATTATTGTAAATTCAGTTTTTCCAAAATACCTATTTGTGTGTGTGTAATGTTGAAATTTAACCCAGAACCTGGCATCCACTAGACAAGTCCTCTACTGGCAAGCTACAACCAGCCCAAAATACCAACTATTTTGTTTTTCAACTTTGCATTACAGAAAATTACAAGTATACATAAAAACAGAGATAGGAGTACAATGAAACCCCACGTATCCACCCTCTGGTTCTGTTCTCCTCGCTTCTGCCTGCTAAGCAAGGCCTCCTCAGTGGTCACTCCGTGAGAACAGTTGCTGTACATCAGGCCTGCCTTTGGGATCTCAGCTTTTTCTTCATCTAAGGACACGAAGCAGGCTGAGTAGAGGAGGAAACAGGAAGGTGAAGGGCAAGCCCAGTCTGAATTAGGAAAAGCGAACGGGAGGAGGGCTCCCAGGCCTCCAGCCTTCCTCAGGCGCCAGCACCTGGGCCCGGTAGGTAGAGCTGGGGCCTGAGTGGAGGAAAGTCTGCAGGTGGTGGGGTCTGCAGAAGTAGGGACCACATCTTGGGAGCAGGTCTTTAGGATCTGCTGGCGTCGTTCCCCGGCTTCACAGAAGGCAGAGTTGCCCTGGCTGTGGAGGTGAGGAGGCAAGGTTCTTGCTGAGCCAGGTCTCGGGGCTGCTGCGGCCCTGTGTCAGCATAGCAGAGCGCACCCTCACGGATGGGTGCAGAGCAGCCCATTGCTCCCAGGCTACAACTCTGTTCTCTGTGTCCTTAGGCAAACGTGACGATGGTGACTACTTCTGTGACTATACCGACCCAACGTAGGTGGTTGCGGTGAAAATGTGAGGTGACAGGAATTTCCCAGCTTCGCGTTAGTTTACCGGGCCACTGCTTTCTTTCTATTTTTATGTAGTGCATCAGTGCTCTGATTGACTAAAGAAGTGTCTACTGAGCCCTTGTCTATCTCTGAGTCCTCTGTATCATTCTGCAATCATGTCCTCCCCTACTTCCTCAGCTCCAATCCCACACTCGATGTGCTCCCTTTCACCTGCATCTTCCAGGGCCCTTGGGACACTCGCGCGTCTGTCCGTCCTGGTCTCCTACGCAGCGAGTCCCTCTGCGCCAAGTCAGCCTCCCGCCTGCTGCTCAGACCCTGGCTGCTAACAACCAGGCGCTCCTCAGAGCCTTGCCTTCTGGGGGAAGCCTTCCTGACTGTCTCCCACCCTGTGGGTCAGGTGCTTCTCGGGCTCCAGTGTCTCCGCCCAGATGTGGCCCGGGGCAGAGGCTGGGCTGGTTTCTCTTGCCACCCTTTCTCAGCGGCGTCCTCAGAACGTGGCAAGAAAATGTTTGCAAGAAAGCGGTGTTCACACCATCCCTCCTTCTTGTTAAAGTAACTCGGTGTGAGGGGCCCGGGATTTAGCTCAGCGGTTCAGTGGCCTGCCTTCTAAGCGCAAAGACCGGAGTTCAATCCGTAGCACCAAAAAAAAAAAAAAAAAAAAAAAAAAAAAAAAAAACAGAAAGAAAACACGCATAAAAAAAAAAAAAAAAAAAAAAAAAAAAAAAAAAAAACCCACACACAAAACCGTAAAGTAACTCGGTGTGGAGAGCAGGTTCCTCCAAAAGCTATGGAGCACGGAGTGCTGACTGCGCTGGTCTTTGGGGCTTTCTCCTCACAGGCCAGGTAAAACTCCAGGACTCCTGAAGCTCCAGTTCTCTCCTCCAATGTAAGAGAACCATTTCCTCTACCATCAGACTTTCTGAGCCCTCTGCTGAGTCCTCCTGAGGATTTCAACTCTGAATCTACTTGGCCACTTCCTACTTATTCTTTCAGATTCAGGCTTCAGTCCCTCCAGCCTCTCATCCCAGCTATTTGGGAGGCTGAGGCAGGAGAATTACAAGTTGGAGGCCAGCTTGCACAATTTAGTGAGGTCCTATCTCAAAATAAAAAATAAAACAGGGAGGAAAAAGAGCTCAGGATGTAACTTCGTGGTTGAGCATTTGGCTGGCATTTGCAAAGTCCAAGGTTCAACCCTCCCTCCACACACACACACACACACACACACACACACACACCACACGCCCACACACGCGTGCACTCAGCTTCAGTGTTACAGCCTGTGTGACACCCTGACCCTAACCTTAATTCCCCAGCACTCTGCATATGAATTCACAGGGGTCACTAGGAAGCTCATAATGTCTGCAAGATTCGTAAGAGTTAAGACTGTTACTCCATCCATGCATCCTCAGGAATCAGCACATCTGGCACATATCGATACCTCAGTAAATCTTTAATGAATGACTGAATGAAGGAGAAAAGCAACTGGTTCCTTTTGGCTTTGTCACTGGAACATCAAAAATAAACTAAGTCTTCACACCCATTCTGTGTGTGTGTGTGTGTGTGTGTGTGTGTGTGTGTGTGTGATACCTGGGCTTGAACTCAGGACTTTGTGCCTGTGAAGCAGGTGTGGTGCCACTGAGCTAAATCCCTGGCCCTTCAAACCCACGTCTGTGGTCTGAGGAACACTGGCACTGCAATTTGAATTTTTAAGACCCCAAGAATCAAAACTTCAAACCATATGATTATCTCAATAGATGCAGACAAAGCATTTGACAAAATTCAACACCCATTCATGATTAGAAAAAAAAAAACCCTACAGAAAATTGGAATATATGGCCTTTATCTCAACCTGATAAAGGCTGTCTACGAAAAACCAACAGCTGATATCATACTAAATGGTCAAAAACAGAAAACCTTCCCTGCTAAAGTCAGGAACAAGACAAGGATATTCACTATCACCACTCCTGTTCAATATAGTTCTAGAAACATTAGCCACAGCAATTAGATAAGTGAAAGAAATAAAAGGAACAAAGATAGGAAAGGAGGAAGTTAAACTATCACTATTTGCTGATGATATGATACTCTACATAGTTGACAGGTTCAATAGAGTAGCTGTATACAAGGTCAACACTCAAAAATCAATAGCCCTCTTGTACACAAATAACAGATTCACTGAGAGAGAAATTAGGGAAACAAATCCTTTCACAATAACATCCAAAAAAAATGAAATATCTAGGAATCAATCTTTTTTTTTGGGGGGGGTTGTTTTGTTTTGTTTTGCTTTTTGAGACAGG